AGCCTGTAATGCCAAGCACTTGGGAGGACAGGCGCCCCCCCCGAGGGGGGGAGGTGGATCACCTGAGGTCAGGAGTTCGAGACCAGCCTGGCCAACATGGTGAAACCCCCTCTCTACTAAAATACAAAATTAGCCAGGTGTGGTGGCACACACCTGTCATCCCAGCTACTCGGGAGGCTGAGGTAGGTGAATCAATTGAACCTGGGAGGCGGTGTCAGGCACGGTGGCTCATGCCTGTAATTCTAGCACTTTGGGAGGCTGAGGCAGATGGATCACGAGGTCAAGAGATCGAGACATCCTGGCCAACATGGTGAAACCCCGTCTCTATTAAAAAGTACAAAAAATTAGCTGGGTATGGTTGGTGCCTGCCTGTAGTCCCAGCTACTCGGGAGGCTGAGGCAGGAGAATTGGTTGAAACTGGAAAACAGAAGTTGCAGTGAACCGGAATCATGCCACTGCACTCCAGCCTGGCGATAGAGCAAGACTCTGTCTCAAAAAGAAAAAAAAAAAAAGAAAGAAAAAAGAATAAAAGAATAAAAAGAAAAAGAACCTGGGAGGCGGAGGTTGCAGTGAGCTGAGATAGTGCCACTGCACTCTAGCCAAGGCGACAAGAGGGAAACTCCATCAAAAGAAAGGAAGGAGGCCGGGCGCGGTGGCTCAAGGCTGTCATCCCAGCACTTTGGGAGGGCCGAGGCGGGTAGATCATGAGGTCGAGAGATCGAGACCATCCTGGTCAACATGGTGAAACCCCGTCTCTACTAAAATACAAAAATCAGCTGGACATGGTGGCGCATGCCTGTAATCCCAGCTACTCAGGAGGTTGAGGCAGGAGAATTGCCTGAACCCAGGAGGCGGAGGTTGCGGTGAGCCGAGATCGCGCCATTGCACTCCAGCCTGGGCAACAAGAGCGAAACTCCGTCTCAAAAAAAAAAAAAAAAAAAAAAAGAAAAGAAAGGAAGGAAGGAAAGAAAACATGAGGAGATGGTGGGCAGGATGGGATTTTTCCAGAGGGATATCCTAAGCCTGAGATTTGGTGAAAAAGTGCTGGGAGGACATGGTCACAGGCAAAGGAGCTGGGGACCCACTGCTGCAGGCCAGTGATCATTCTGGCCTCATAGCTCAGCACCCCTACTGCCTCCTCTAGGAAGCTTTCCCTGCATGGCCCATATTAAAAAGGGGAAACTTGAGGCATGGTGAAAGCTAAGTGGCCAGGTCACGCAGCTAGCAGGTGGTAAATGGGGGAATTGAGCCCAGGACTGTGTGATTGAAGAGCCAGTGTCATTAACCACTATACCATGCTGCCTTGTGGGTGACTTTTTTTTCCTTTTGGAGATGGAGTTTCACTCTGTCACCCAGGCTGGAGTGCAATGGCTTGATCTTGGCTCACTGCAACCTCTGCCTCTCAGGTTCAAGTGATTCCCCTGCCTCAGCCTCCCAAGTAGCTG